AGAAAAAATTTTATATACAGAAAGTCAAGGAAAAATGGTATAATTTTAGTATTAATGAAATAAATATTTCTAACAGTCTTGCCTTCAACTCCTTGCTTGTTTCTTAAGTAAAAACCAGATGCTTTACGAAATCTAGAGAAGAAATACACCTATGTGTAGATGACACTGAATCTTTGAGAAAAATGCAAAAGGACTATCTTTCAAATCCCAAGCAAGGCAACTGAAGACAAGATAAACTGCAATGAGAGGCTGGTGGGACTTATTAACGGATCGCATGAACTAAAAAAAAGAGAATGTTGTTTGTTTACTTATTTTAAATCAGCATCAGGTGTTTTGTTTGTTCATTTCTTAGTGGTGTATTAAATAATTATGTGTTTTAAAATTAGTATTTTCTTGTATTTGATGAAATACAGGCTATATGCTCTTGTAAAGAAATGAAAGGAAGACAATTAAAAGCTAACAATGAACTGATTTTATTATAATGTGCACACTTGACTGATTAATCACTAGATTTTCCATCCTTTCATCCTTATTAGGATTCTATGGATAGATAATAAGCTAGCTGCTGACAACTAAATTGCTCAGAATCTGACATAATTATATGAGTTTCCGGAAGCTTAATTTTGATTTTGAGAAATACGTGGCTAGACACATGCATTGAAAATTACCTTCAGGGGTCTCAAGTTCTTTAGAGGTGATAAACATCAATTAACATCATGATATTGAAATTCATTTCAATTTCTGGGACAATGTAACCAAATCCACACATATATATGAATATATATATATATCCCAAAATCAATCTATCTATCATCCCTTCCTCCATATCCAAATGTATATGCCAAAATATATTTTAATGTTTTGTGTCAAGAGGATGTTTCCTATGTATTTCTAAACATATTCCAAAACATGGATAAAATATATATTTTAAACCTAGAATTTTAGAATTGGAAGGCAACTGAATGATCGCTAGGGTTTCTTAAAGATCTAAATTCTATTGTCTTACATTTTATTTATTTCATTAATGGGCTTAGAAACTGAAGCACAAAATAATTAATTTATTCATTTCATGCTACACAGTTCAATGGTAGCACAGCCAACATTAGAGTCTTTTGGCATGAGGTTCAGTGTTCTATTAGTCCAAATTGTCCTATAATATATTAAACACACAATAGGATAATTAATGTAGTGAAAGGTGTAGTGAAAGTAGGTACCTCCTGCTTTTCCCTTTCTCTGCCTAAAAAAATACTTTGAAGACTGAAGCCTTAATTTTTCCTGTTGCTGAGAGTGTCGGCAACTGATAGCTCTCAAGTAATATTGTCTCCAAAAATTTCCCTACTAAAACTAAAAAAACCTACTCACCTAATACTATAGCCCTTCCCAGAGTCTGTCAATGTCCAATAACTAGATGATGGTATATGACTCCCACCCACTTGCCTGAATTGGAGACAATTATGAAGAACCATCCCAAAGTCAGATCTTCCTGTGTGATCAGTTCAGATAATTTAATTGTACAGAATTTAATTTCTCCCTCTGCCTGACTCTGCAGTCTTCATTCTCCATAGTTATTGGCCTAAGAACATTTCCAATACATTTCTTACAAATATTTGTCTCAGAGTCTGTGTTCTGTGGAACCAAACTACAACAATAAATATAAAATTACTTGAATTTTCTAGAGAAAATGATTTTGCTTTTTAAAATAGAGACAAAAGTGTTTAAAGTGATTAGGTTCTCAAGGATGAAATGAGCACTTCTCAAAGTAATTTTAAGGTCTGTTAGTTACATTATATTGTTACTGTGATGCTTATTGTGATTAAGATAACAACATTGCAGGTATATTAGGCATTTTAGAGTCAAGTAGATCATTAAATATTTACAATAATCCTTTATGAAGATATAGATATAAACAACTGTATTTATATAAAACTTCTTTTCTCAGGTGAGAAAATTGGCAACTTAGGAAACAAGTAACTTGCCATGTTCACTAAACTAAAAAGTGTCTCATTCTGGTTGATTTTCCCATTAAACTTTAAGCTGCCTTAAGGTAGCATTTGGATCTTATATGAACAACACTATTTTCCATCATGTATGCAGCACATTGCCCTCAATGTGATCAATAAATATTTATCACAAGAATAAATGAATCCATATATATCTTATTCTATCCATGCTATTAACCCCTGCAACAAGGCAATCTCCTATGTACACTACACGCTTTGGAGATAATGGTAGACATCACAGAGAACTTTAAAAAAAAAAAAAAAAGACCAAAAAAACTAACATGTCAAAACCAAACTCTACCAAATAAACATAAATGGTTGATTTAAATGTGTATTTTTCTTTAAAAGTTGAGAGTAAGAATCCCCATTCTGCCTCTTTTGATAGTAGATCCACATGTGCTTTCTAAGTACCGGATAGTATACCAGAGAAGGAGTGCTGAGGCTGCTTGTGTGACTGAATTATTTGATCCTTTTCAACATGTCTTATTAAAACTGTATATTCAATTTAATATATCAGGATAATAAAAATGATCACATAAAAACAATGAATATTCCCTCAAAGATAATATTAAAATAACGAAATACAGTCTATCCCTACCATTTCTACTTTCCTAGGCAGCATCTGTTGAAATAGAAATGAAAAAGAAATGTAACCTCTGGTATTATCATTATGGACTTACTAATGTTGTTTTCATCCCCAGTTTTTTCTGCTATATAGCATAAGCAGCACCCATGATTTGGCTACAGATATTAAGCACAGGGTTGATTAAATAAACATGTAAGATTACAGATATGGAGAGAAAATAAAAGATCACATTTCGAATAGGTCCAAAGCTTAGGGTATTGGAAAAGAGTCAAGAAGAAAAAGGTAGAAAAATTCCCAAATGATGAAAATTGAATCAAAATAGTTTATTCCTTCTACCCCTAAAAAGCCTCTGAGGCATCTCTTGTGAGTCTTACAATGTTTCCTTTCCACATCAAATTACCAGCCTAACTATCTCTACTCCAAACCTAAGAAAAAGTTAAAACGGCATATTAGAAGTACTATGGGGTCTGCTTTAAGTAGCTCATCACAAAAAAGTAGATAAAGATGACTTCACAAACATCAAGACAAAGCAAAGGCCTGGGTAGTAAAATCCTTCCTTCTGAAATCACCAAGTATAAGGACACTCTCAGTAGGTCTTAGTTTTATAAAAAAGAAAAGTACGGAGATTTATTTCAGTAATAATCATTTTGAGGCCTAAGCTCATATTACAATGTTTTTCTGCATGCAATTAATTTTAGAAAAATGTGATGAAGTTTTGAAAAATTCCTATGGAAATACTTGAAGAAGGAGGAACTCGTAAATAATCAAGCAGACTGCCTGTCCTACACTAGCTATAGGATAAAATCAAAATCTCTGTGCTACAATTTTCCAGCCTGCATAATGGGAATAAAAGAAGCTACCTCAAAAGGCTCTTGTGAATCTGAATACATAAGAGCAATAGCAGAGTGTCTGAAATATAATACACAATTAATAAATATTATGTATTATCTCAAATAAACTTTATTCAGCAAATATTTATTAAACGCCAGGCAATTGTATCAGGAGAAAAGAGTAGAAATGAAAAGAAGTGGATGACTTGAGATTATATTTTGGAAAAAGCAAGGACTTGATTTTAAGGGGTATGAGGAAAAGAGAGACACTAATTTTCAGGTATTGGCCTGAATGTGGTGCCATTTACTGAGAAGAAAAATCCTTGGGGACCAATGGGTTTCACAATTCACAATCGGGTTTTGCTTTGGTTTGATTTGTTATGCCAAATTAGTAATAACCAAACAAAAAGAGCAATGATGGCTGAATAAGCAAATTGAGTCTCTAGGGAGACATAAAGTTTGGAAATACAATTTCTTAGGAAACTGAAAGGTTGTGTATTTAAGCTGTACACCATTTCATGTAAGCAGAAATGTTCACTGTCTTTTTGAGCATGTATTACTCAAATACTGCTCAAGTACTCATTGTATGAGTCTGCTGCTGTTTATTGCTCAAATACTGCTCAAGTACTCATTGTATGAGTCTGCTGCTGTTTATTGCTCAAATACTGCTCAAGTACTCATTGTGTGAGTCTGCTACTGTTTATACTGCTCTTCTCCCTTGTCTGTTTCTCTTCATTTTCATCTTCCCTCTTTGTAGCAGCAATAAATCCTTGACATTTTGCAAGCGGAATAATTAAGCCAGCCAGTCTCAGTTTTTACCTCAATGCGTTTTTCTACACAAACACAGTGTTCTCTTCAGGAGGAATATGGGTGCTAGCTTGTAATCTTTGCTTCTTCACAGCATGATTCAATGAGTTATGCCTTGTTTTTATTACTAAAGTATAAAATTCTTATGAGCAAGAAGGTGGCATGTACTTTGTGGACCTGATTTTGATTAATAAATTGCATCCAGAAGTCTAAATGAACTATGTATTGAAATTTCTAGTAAGTGCTGAATTGGTCTTCTTAGGTTATTATAGTTACTTGGGTGTTTTTAGTTTCTTTAATTTCTTGCTTACTACTTTGGTGATACAAATCATGATACTGATAATTCTATAAACTCTGTAGACATATATTTAAATAACTATAGCATATTAAACCAGCAAAAACTAATGACTTTATATGTTTATATTAATCATTAAAATAATCTGTTATTTTCATGCTCTGGTTTCTCTTCAGATCATATAAATCTTTCACCTTTTACTTATTAATCTGTATTCTCAGATAAAGCTATATAATTCAAATTTAGTAAATTAGATTTTAAAAAAATCAAAATGCCCTTTAGAGTAAATTAACCATTTAATCACTATGTGTAGTAGCATTGCACTGGAAAATTGAATCCCATGGATAATTTTATTGATAATTATATAAACCTCATTGAAAAAGTAGGGGGTCAGACACAAACGTATAAATACCACTCTGTATTGTATGTATGCTATGAAAGTCTTTTTTATGACTGCTTTTTCTTTTTGTGTCTTACCATAGGCTACATATCGAAATCGAATTGTGAGCCAAAATCTCAACCCAAGGGACAGAAAAACAATGCATACTCCCATCGAGGACCGTTTTAGGTATTCGTCAGCGGACCAGACAAGCCCCTACAAAAACAAGACCTGTCAACTCCCAAGTCTATGTTTAAGTAATTACTTGAAGGACAAGGAACTAGCAGAAGTTATCAAACATTCAAGAGGAACTTATGAAACCCTCACTTCAGAGGTTACACAGAACTTACGGGCCACCGTTGGGCAGAGCTCTCTGAAGCCAACAGCTAAGACAGAAGGGCTCTCCACGTTCTTAGAGAAACCAAAGGACCAAGTTGCTATGGTCCGACAGCATTCGACCTTTACAGGCAGGTTTGGACAGCCACCAAGAGGGCCTATCTCTTTACACATGTACAGCAGGAAGAATGTGTTTCTCCACCACAATTTACACAGCACTGAGCTGCAGACTCTAGGCCAGCAGGACGGGTAATTAAATCACCCTATTCCTGTCTTTGGGTAGGATAAAGATGGTGTTTCTCGTGCATAGTTCATATTAAAATTGTCAGGTACTTTTTCTTACATTTTAGTTTAGTCATAAACAAAGATTTGTGTTGTTGGGTTTTTTTTTTTTTTTTTTTTTTTCCCGAGTGAAAGTTTGAGCATGTTAATTGAACTAGGTTGAATTGCCTTGAAGACTTTACTATATATGTGTATAATAAATGGGACCATCTTGATCGTTTGTACAGTCCACAAGTTATTTATTTTTTATCTCTATCACTTACTGATATGCATTGGCGTTTCAGAAGGCAATATCAAATAGCAATCCATTCACTCTGTTAATGGTGTTACTATAAAAGTAGATTTGAGGAATAATAAAGGATTTATAAGGAATTTAAAATTATATAGTTAATAGAAGGAAGAAAAAAGAGGAATGTTAAAGTCTTATATTTGGCAGTATATTTATTTGAAGAATGTGGCTTGCTTGCATGTAACCCAGAGATGTGTTTGTCTCTATTACATACATTCAAGCTTATCTTGTGATACTATTAAGGGGGAAATGGCTGTTTCTTTTTCCTTTGAACATCTGGTTCATACTAGTTCACAAAGGATTTTAGAGTAATTGCTAGCCAAATAGAGAATGGCAGCTCTGATCTTTGAAAATTTTTGCTTTTAGTTTTTGTTATTGATGTTGAAGTACTGTGACATAACACAAGGTGATAAAGTTGGTTGAATTTTGTCAAATGATGCATAAAGACTGACATGCTATATTCTTTGAGTCACTGTCATGACAATGTAAGCATTTTTTCAAAATTTAAAGAATGAAATATCCTAAGAAAATCATTCTTTTTCTTTGCTTATTTTTTTAAATGTTCATTTTTATGTAGATCCAGTTTTGGTTTATATGCACCAACCTATTTCTATAATTTTATGAACTGAGAAACAGAAAGTCAGTATTTGAGTAACCAGCATGCAATATTCTGACTATGAAGAAATCTAGATTTAGAACAAAAAGTAAAGTAAATGTAAACATTGGCAATTTGATCTTAGAAATAATCTTCTAACAGGAATATTTAAAACTCATTTGATGGCAAATATTTCTCTTTGACAAATAAGGCCCAAATATGTTATAATATGTTATATACTTATGTGCACATGAGATAGATCAATATATAAATTGATCAATGGATAATTCCATCATGTTTAATTAGTAGCAGAGCAGTATCAAACAGTAGAATTAAATACATAAATAAATAATTTTAAAAAGACTAATAGGAATCAAGGCTGCAGTTTTCTTATAAATATCAGAGCTGGTAACTATATCCATATTAGCCATAGTCCATGCAAATTGAAACTGTCATACCTACTGCATGATCTGTTTCCCTTGCATTCTCTAACAGACAGAATCCGTCAGTGTGCACAAATGGGATGAATGAAGGGAAATTGAGAGCAGTTTTAGCATGGCATCCGACAACTTGCTTAAATTAAAGCTATGTGCAAAATGCATCTCCTACTATAAAAATGTATTTGTGCTCTGTGCTTTGGGGAAAACCCGTTAGACATAAAACCCCTGAGCTTTAATGATTGAACATTGATACATTTGCAAATTTTGATTGGAACTGATAAAGTAAGGAGTCTTGTGGATATTTGTACTGTAATTTTGGTTTACCAAAGGAATAGAGGTGTGCATCAAGACAGACATTTGCCAAATGTTTTCTTTCTTTGCGTGCTTGTTATTCTGCCAAAAGAGAACAATACACACTGCAAACTGCTTGACTTAATGAGATTGCTATCTAAAGTTCTCACCATCCTTCAGCAGCTGTGATGTTCATCAGATATACATTTTGGGCTGGGCGATATTTAAGAAATGATAGGAAAATAGAAAAATTATGATTATTAATTGTGGAATTCAGCTTGGTTTGTCCTAAATGTTGGCATCTGTTGCTAGAGTATTTTAAATCTGTAAATAAATAAGCATAATAAAATAATCAAGGATTTTTTTCCCAGGATATGGAAGAACAATGTATCACAAATAATGTTTTTGATTTGGACTTTTGGAGTTGATAGTTTTGTTTTCCTGGAAGATAGACTTTTGAATTATACTTTATAAAAATAATCTATTTAAAGAAGATCTGTCATTTAATAGACATTTTAAGAGATGTTTTAAACACTAGTATTTTCTTGAAAAGTCTTTTTTAAAGCTGAATCATTCAAAAGAAAACCTGGTTTAAACAGTTCGATTTTAAATGGAAGGATATTTTTTGGAAATATCATCTTAAAGCTGTTTTGTATCAGTATTTTCAGCATTGTTATAATATTATTTGTAATACTAAGTGTAACTCAGGCCTGGAGAAGGTGTAAGCCCGCTATGCTAATGTACATCAGTAACTGTAAAATAGGGGTTCTTTGCAAGTTCCTCTTGCGTATGTATAGTAACTTATAACAATGGCATGTGGGCATTCTTTCAGTGAGTTGATTTCTTTGTACTAAAATCTCTAGTTTTCTAAGACAGTTCCATGTATAAAACTGATTTTTACATTTCTCCAAGGCGGTACATATCCAAAGACATGACACCAGGGGGAAAAAGTGCTTGTTTTTCTGATGGAAACAGTAGTCTTTTCTTTTCCTTCCTTTTTCTTTAGTGCATGTGTATGTGTAGCTAAGCCTAAATGACCCTGTAAAATTTCTGCTGCAAATTGTCTCTTCTCAATTTAGAATGTGTTTTAAAGAAACACTTAGGAAGAGAAACACCTTGAAGAAAAGCTGTTCCCACCTGAAATAAACTGTTCCCATTTTTATAATTATTGGAACATGAAACTATTTCTATGAACTCAGTGATTTTTTTTCCATAAAATTATATGCTAAGAGAGTCTCCACAAAACTATGAATTCTCTCGAATTATTTTTGCTTCTTTGGTGCACCAAAGTCTTTGCTCAAATCACAACATGAAACTGTTGCTACAATGCTAAAGATGTGAATCTACCATCATTATGGTCAGGGTAAGAACCTGGAGTCACATGTTATTCAAGTTATATTTGTTATCTAACGATTGAGATGAAAATAAAATCGTAAGCCAATATTAAATATTTATAGGCATATTTGCCTAACTTAAAATGTTTACAAAGATTTTTATGATTAATCTGGGTTTATGTCCTGGGCTCTACCCCTTATATTTTCCAACATTTAATTCTAACCCATTCTCATTATTTCCTGAATGTTGAACTCTCATTGAATTCATAGGAAATGTCCCATTTTGCTTTGTTTTCTTTGTCTTGTTTAACAGAGATAATACCCATACACCCCCTTCAGAAAGAGGTTTTCAAAAATTATGATATATTTAAGATTCACATGCCCAAGATAAATGATTACATTCCATAAGCCCTCTCAAGAACTTTCTTGATAACTTAGTTGTTGATTAAACAGTAGGAACAGTTTGTTGAATGATTAGTACTATCTTTCCACATCATTCATCATTATAAAGAAATAGTAACCCATAGCAGTGGGTAACTTGAAAACTTAACAGAATCTCATAATCATAATCTAAATTTTCACTTTCAGAACATTCTCAGCAGCTATAGAAGAAGGAAGTGGTTCAAAATAACCCTAAGACTCCATTGAACCACATACACATACATGAAAGTAGAAAAGAAAGGGGAATACCTGTGAAGGTGGTATCTATTACTGCCAACCATGTTACTGGGTCACATGCCACACAGCCAGAAGCTTTTCCCTCACTGATAATATTAGCTGAAATGTAGCACTTATTCATTTACACCAGGATTTTGATTGCCATCTAAAACGACTTTATTTAGGCATTATTATCAGGTCCTGTTATGTATTTTCATATACATATATATATATTTTTGTATAAGAGGTATTTCAATCACACACAATATTCTTGAGAAATTTACCTCTTTTAGAGTTTAAACTTTTTAAAACACTTCTTGTTTGTTTCCCATATACTTTATCATAACAACTCTAGGCTATAGAAGGCGTAAGAGAAAATACAAACTAGTTTTGGTTTTTATAAAAAGCTTATTTCAGTTAAGACTGGTCATTTTTTTAAAAATCTGAATTACACCATAGAATAAAAGCAAACAGTCAACTAAGCAAACAAAGAAGTTTCTTCTCTAATAATATCCATCATTGCCAAATGTTTGTTTTTGAAATTTTGTTCTGTGCCAACTTGTTTCACCATGTTAAAATGCTTACGTACCCATGAACTATTTATTTACAATACATTTGATCTCGTTAAGAACCCAGTTCTATTTCCAAGGCGCACAACCCAAAACCAAAAAGTTAAAAGATATCACTCTGTAGTTGAATTACCTGTGGAAAAGAATGAAGGCAGTTCACTCTGTTTAACATGTGTAGAATTTCCCACAAATAGTTTAGGTGAAATAAAAATCATTAACTAATAGAGAGTAGTTTCCTTCCATTCGAGTAAGTGATCTAGAACACAGGATACCATTGTTCTTTTTAGATCATATTCAGTGTATTAACTTCTCCAATATAATATGACATACATACTTCTTCCACTTGAACATAAAATTCTAGAAGAGGAGCATCCTACACATATCATGCTTTCCAAACATTACCTCTTTACTTTAGTAAACTTGGGTTGCTATAACAAAATATCATGGACTGGTGGCTCAAACAACACATTTATGTCTCAGTTCTGGAGGCTAGAAAGTCTAAAATCAGGTGAGGACAGAATAAATTATTGGTGAGGACCTGCTTCTTGGATTGCATGGTGGAGAAAAAGCTCTGGTCTCTTCCTCTTCTAATAAATAGAATAATTTCATCATGGGGGCCCCACTCTCATAATCTCATCTAAACCTAATTACTTCCCAGAGGCCTCAACTTCAGGTACGATCATACTGGGGGTTAGGGATTCACCATATGAATTTTGGAGTGATACAAAAAATTAGTTTATATCACTCATTTTCAGGTCAGAAAGCCTACTTCTCTAATAATATACTTCAATAACTAGTTGGGTAGTTATTGTTTTACTCTTTCATAGATTAGATCAGAGACATTATAGGTAATTTGCCCAGGACACACACATGCATTTTTAATTAAATTAGATTTCATTTATATCATGCTTATCAACTGAGTAGGATGTCTCCTAAAGAGGCAGAGTGATTTAAGCAAACATGTGCTGCCTCAATCTCCTTTACACCTAAACTTCCATTGATATTGCTAGGGATAAAAATTTAAGCAATGATCTACCTTAGGAAATCAAAATACTGTACATTGAAAAGCAGTTTTAAAACAATTATTGATATTTAGTTTAATAAATACAGAATTTTGAGAGGATAACTCTTCTATTTCTAGGTTACCTACCAGAAAAACTGAGATTCTAACTTTCTTATTTTGAAAGCAGTTGGAAAAAACACTAAGAAATGATTTTATATTTTTTAAAGTAGAGGGTCAATAAGTGTCTAACAAAAGGAAAGCATACAGTAAATGAAAAATGAACTAGTTATCAGATTGTCTTATATCTTTCCTTCATAGGACATTGATATAGACATCATCAAATTCCTGTTTGTATTGCCTTATACATACTTAAAAACAAGATATTTACCAAATTGTTTTAGATATTCCTATCTAGGAACTAAAATTACACCTTATTTAAAATTTGCTTAATTATTCAGAAGGAATTGAAGTGAAATGAGGAATACAAATTTACTTGTCCTAAATTTTTAAATACAATGTATTTTATTTTGTTGTAAATTATATATACCCAAATAATGTCTCAATAAGATATAATCCTGTCATGAAGTCTCTCTTCCAAAAAAGAATGCAAGGTAATTGAATATTAGTTAGATCCTAAGGAATTTATTTTAAGGGAAAATATACACCCTATATGATGTATTCTTAAATTTATGGGTTTGAGATTAACATTTATATTAGGTTTTTTTAATTTGTCATCTCTAAAACTCTAAAAATTTAGTACAAAAGATAATAGAAAAACATCCTGGAAAATACAATTTTTAGCGATATCGAATGCAGTAGTATACTTTTTTTGTGGCTCTTGATTTCTTAAGAATAGTGATTTTATTTAATGAAAATTTCTCAATTTGGTTAATATTCTGAAAAAAGATTGATACATTTAAGCATGTTGATTAGAAAAATATGCATATTTCCTGCTCATAATAAATTTTAAAACAACAAATTAGTTGTGTGGTACCTGACTGCTTTTGATATGGCATTAATTTGTTTTGAACTTGTCTTCATGATACATTGACTTACACTTGCATTCATATTGGGCATAAAGCATTGTGATTTACTTCTAGGTTCTTGAGGGTTATGACAATTGGAAAATGACAGATCAGCCACTTATTTCATCAGCTAGTTGACACAATTTATATTTCTACTTTCTTTGCCACCAGAGTTTAAAAAATTTCTGATATACTGCAAAAATGTGCAATGGTCCCTGGGGACTATAAGAAAAATATACTGCTATATTTAATTTCAATAGATAATATACTATAGTATAAAAATACTATATTTTTTATCTTCCTTTTTAAAACTCATTACAATTCAAAATTCAAAATATATCTCACAACATTTTGAATTTGTAGTTTAAGAAACCCTGTTTATCTACCCTATGTGTCTTTATCAACACATACACACACACACACACACACACACACACGAGTTTTAAAAACCATTAGAAAATGGATGATTCAGTACAGTTATGGAAGCATTTGAAACAATACATGTATATGTATCTATTTGGCATCCAAACTGGCCAATATGAAAGAACATATAGTTAAAATTTTCCTGCAACACCTAAAAAGTACATTCCAACATCTTGTGTTTACAGGGCCTCACAAATTCAGAGTAAATGGTGTTTTCTGTCTGCAGTGTACAATTTTTTTTTTTTTTTTTTTTTTTGATAGGGAGTTTTGCTCTTGTTGCCCAGGCTGGAGCACAATGGCGTGATCTCTACTCACTGCAACCTCCGCCTTCCAGGTTCAAGCGATACTCCTGCCTCAGCCTCCCAAGTAGCTGGGATTACAGGTGCCCGCCACCACACCAGGGTAAATTTTGGTATTTTTAGTAGAAACGGGGTTTCACTATGTTGGCCAGGCTGGTCTTGAACTCCTGACCTCAGGTGATCCATCCGCCTAGGCCTCCCAAAGTACTGGGATTACAGACCTGAGGCACCACACCCGGTCTGCAGTATACTTTTATATAATGCAATTTCAATAAGATGAAACAGAGCATTATGACACATTTTATAATTTATATTTAATGTGATCTTATAGTTTAAGAATCAAGCCATTTTCCTGATGACAGGAAGAATTATTTTTAATTCTAAATTTTATTTTCCATAAAGAATTACAATAAGTACGGTATATATTTTTCTATTAAATTACTGAAGGTGTTCAACTTTAGAGTTATTCTGAAGATTTTATGAGAAGTCAAAATCTACTTCTAGAATTTTTTGTTATTTAAAAAACCCTTTGCTTATAATTATAATCAGCAATTTTGTAGATTAGATATTTTTCTCTTACATTTCAGTCAAGAAACAGTAATTTTAAAATGTTTAAAATGAAATATTGATGTATCTAGTACTTATTATTTATATATTATTTCAAATATCCTCATTTTTTAAATCTTATTTTAAGTGGCTCTTGCATATCTCATTCCCTTTTATGGTTCTTCTCTAATATGATTTGACATTTGTAGTGACATTATCAGTAGAACAGTCATTATAGCATTAAATGTACAGAAATGACACAAGTAATGTTAGTGTTGAAGGGAGATTTATAATTCTAATCACTTTTCAGAAGATG